TCCCTCCCTTCCTTTCTTCCTTCTCTCTCTCTCTTTCTTTCACTGGAGATCAATCCCAGGGCCTTGTTCATGCCTAAATAGATTACCAAATTGCCTCCTGAAAATTTTATGGTAATTATGTCTCTCACCAGAAGTACTTCAGAATTCAGCCTGTTTCTTTCTACCCTTTCCGGCATGGGGTATTATCAGGGCTTGAAATGTTTACCAATAGGTAAAAAATAACTCATATATAAAAATGTATATGTTGATTCATTAGTTTAAATTTCTAGAATTATTTACTTGAATAATCATAAATATATGTAAAAATTGTCATTGTTCTTGTAGCAGAAATGATTCAGAATTAAATAAAACAAAAAAGTTTACTTTTATGGAATATTTGAGTAATTATGCTATAACTGTTGAAAAGTCACAATAACCTGAAAATTCAGTCAGTAAAATTTAAGTTTACTATCTTTGTTTGCTTTTAAAGAGCAATTTTAGGTTCAGAGAAAAATCGGCAAGAAGGAATAGAAATTTTCTGTCTTCTACCCTGACGTGTGCATAGCCACCCCCATAGTTTACTGAATTTTGAGTTAACAATAACTCAAGTTTTATACTTCTTCTGATATAATGTTGGAAAAGTTTTAAGATTCTTAGCCTTTTTCAGATATTATCAATGCAATTTAATTGGTTTATAAAGAAAGCTGTAGATCTTTTATATGTGGTTTTAAATTGTATATTATGAATTTCTGTGTTATCTTTATGAAACTGGTAACCAACCTACATTTCTTTATAAGATTTTAAGTTCATGTACTTTAGGGATCCAATTTATTATTATTTTATGTGGATTATATTTTGATCTTCCATGATAGTTCATTGTTTTAATTGATAAAAAAAATCTAAATTAGTTTTGTTGATAATATTTTGCATTCTTTTGTTATTATTACCTTCTGAAATGAAAGCTTTACAAAATGTGTTTAGGTCTGCATGAATTTGATGCCCTGAAGGATCCTGAAGTGAATGAATTTAGAAGAAAAATGCGCATATTCAGTGAGGAAAAGATTCAGTCACTTGTGGGATTATCGTGGATCGACTGGCTAAAGCAAACGTATCCACCGGAGCATGAGCCATCCACCCTAGAAAACTTGGAAGATAAGCTTTATGGAGGAAAGCTCATTGTAGCTGTACATTTTGAAAACTGTCAGGTAATATCATATTTTATTAAGAAATATTTTGTAATAAGTCTGATTATTACCAGAACATTGCTCAATTCTTAAAAGTGTATCTTGCTTGCTTAGTAAACACTGTTACAAAGAAAAGTTTTAGGGCTGGGGATGTGGCTCAGTGGGAAAGTGCTTGCTTGGCATGTGTGAGGCCTTGGGATCAATTACCAGCACTGCAAATACAAAAAACGAGAGAATAAGAGAAGCTTTTATATTTAAGAGGGGAGTGTATTTAAAATTTATACATATCTAAAGTGTCATCCTTTGCACACCCATTATTACTTTATGTAGTAGGATAGTAGTTTAAAAGGGTGAAAAGTTTGCTCTTTGTGTCAGGTCTCATAGAGTGGTGAAACTGCACCGTTTAATTTTTACATTTTTAAAGAGATTGAAAAGGAATTGAAATGATTTTAAAGAAACTTTGAGATTTAAAAAAATTTTTGTATACCAGAAATTTAACCCAAGAGCACTTAATCACTAAGCCACATCCCCAGCCCTTTTTTATTTTTTAGTTTGAGACAGTGTCTTAACGAAGTTACATAGGGCCTAAGTTGCTGAGGTTGGCTTTGAACTTGTGATCCTTCCTGCCTCAGCCTCCTGAGCTTCTGGGATTACAGGTGTGTGCCAACATGCCTGGAAAAAAGATATTTTTTAAAAGAAACAAAGAGTTTCCATATTTCTTCATTTGCATTCTGTGAATATGTGAATTGAGTGGTGATATGGAATTTGGCATTATAGAATGTATATACTGTGAATCCATATTGAATGTTCATAGCAATTATACAAACTAGATGGTGCTACTACTTTGTGTATCAAGTATAGTCAACCTATAATTAAGGGGTTAACCTTAGTTTTAGGTAGGAATTCAAAGATTATTTTTGTTTGGTTTGCTCTTTTTGGTATTAGAGGTTGAACACATGGTCACTCTACCCCTGAGCCACATCCCCAGCGCTTTTATTTTTTATTTTGAGATAGGCTCTTGCTGAATTGCTAAGCTTGCTGTCCTTGTGCCTCAGCATCCTGAGTCACTGGGCTTACAGGCAAGGATGTTTGTTCTAAATTTATAATGGAAGTCATAAAAATGATAATAACCATAATAGTAGCTGTCTTATATTGAGTACTTATACCTCTGTAAGGTATTTTTCATATATTCTCCAGTTCCCACAACAACCTTTTATAAGTGTTGTTTCTTCCCCATTTTTAGTAAAGAAACTAAAAACCGGATGTAGTGGCGCATACCTGTAATCCCAGTAGTTTAGGAGGCTGAGACAGGAGGATCACAAGCTTAAAACCAGCCTCAACAAGTTAGAGAGGCCCTAAGCAACCCAGCAATACTCTGTCTCAAAATAAAATACAAAAAAGGGCTGGGGATCTGGCTTGGTTGTTAAGCTCCCTGGGTTTAATTTCCAGTACCAAAAAAGAAAAAGGAAACTGAAAGAGCAAACAAAAGTTTGCTCTTTTGTGCCAGGTCTCATAGTTGGTCCTTGAAAGAATCAGGATTTTATCCAGTATTTAACCAGTTATCTGATTATGCTTTCTTTTATTTTTTATTTTTTTTAATTTTGAATTTATTTTATAGTAGAATCATTTGACATATTTTTTTTTTATTGTTGGTCGTTCAAAACATTACACAGTTCTTAATACATCATCTTTCACAGTTTGATTCAAGTGGGTTATGAACTCCCAACTTTACCCCGTATACAGATTGCTGTTTCACATCAGTTACCCTTCCATTGATTGACATATTGCCTTTCTAGTGTCTGATGTATTCTGCTGTCTGTCCTATTCTCTACTATCCCCCCTCCCCTCCTCTCCCCTCCCCTCCCCTTTTCTCATCCCTGTTTAATGTAAATCTTCTTCTCAAGCTCTTTGTCCTTACCCTGTCCTTGTTTACTCCATATTGACATATTGTACACAAATGGAACACAACTTTTCATTCCTCCGGAATGCAGTCACTCCAGTAATCATACATGTATATAGGGTAATAATGTCTTATTCCTTGGTCCTTCCCATCCCCACAGTCCCACCCCTCCTCTCACTGCCTTCTACACAAACCAAAGTTTCTTCATTCTTCCCATCCCCTGGCCCCACTGTGGATCAGCATCCGCTTATCAGAGTAAACATTTGGCTTTTGTTTTTTTGGGATTGGCTTATTTCACTTAGTATGATATTCTTTAGTTCTATCCATTTACCTGCAAATGCCATAATTTCATTCTTCTTCTTTTAAAATTTTTAATTGTAGGTGGACACAATACCTTTGTTTTGTTTAGTTTTTTATGTGGTGCTGGGGATCAAACCTATTGCTTCACACATGCTAGGCAAGTGCTCTACCATTGAGCCACAACCCCAGCCCCATAATTTTATTCTTTAAGGCTGAGCAATTTCCATTGTGTATATATGTACCATATTTTCTTTACTCATTCATCTGTTGAAGAGTATCTAGGTTGGTTCCATAGTTTCACTATTGTGAATTGAGCTGCTATAAACATTGATGTGGCTGCATCTCTGTAGTATGCTGTTTTTAAGTTCTTTGGTTATAAACCGAGGAGTGGGATAACTGGGTCAGATGGTGGATCCATTCTAAGTTTTCTGAGGTATCTCCATACTACTTTCTGTAGTGGTAGCACTAGTTTCCAGTCCCACCAGCAATGTATGAGTGTACCTTTTCCCCCCACATACTAACCAACACTTATTATTGCTTGTGTTCTTGATAATTGCCATTCTGACTGGTGTGAGATGAAGTCTTAGAGTAGTTTTGATTTTATGCCTCTTTTTAGACAACATGTTAGTATTTTTAAGGGCAGATGTGAAAAAAAGATCTTGCCTTTAGGCATTTTCCCTAGCCAAGAAAGTTTGTCAAGGAAAAAATTGTATATATTATCCTATCCTGAGATAATTAAATTAAAGTTTATTTTGAGTAAAGATTTTATTATCATAAAGTATCAGCCTCAAATTTAAAATACTATTTAGGGACTTCTGCAAGAAGTGGAATAAGGAAGTTTGTTGTTGAGGTGACTAAAATTTAACTTGGAGACACTGACTCAGGGTAATGCATGTGTAGGTCAGACTGAATTTCATTTTATGGGTCAAATGTCTACTGGGATACACAAATAATGTAATCATTCTGGTTGCAAAGTATATGTTAAAAGTGTTTTAAGCTTAGGAGAGAAATGAAGATATTGTAAAATCTTACTGGATTTTAAGCTGTAGTAGAATTTAAAAGTTCAAAGGAGTTTAGAGATTGTCTAATCAGACTCTATACAATTTTTTTTCTTTTTTTTTAGTTTCTGATATCATGTATTTCTTCCTGAATATATCCAGTACTAGGGGATGTACATCCTCTGCCTCCTGAAGTAGTGTGTTTACATTGTGGGCAAATGTGTTTAAATTTTGGATTAAAAAAGCTCAGGGGTAAAGCACTTACCTTTCACGTGTGAAGCACTGGGTTTGATCCTCAGCACCACATAAAAATAAATACAGACATTGTGTGTACATCTACAAGTAAAAAAAAAATATTTAAAAAAAATGTTCAGTCTTGCCTTCTGTGACTTCTGCCTTTCTCAATGTAATAATCATATGGTCTCTTTTTTTCCCTGTATATGCCAGATATTCAGGTAGTTAAAAAATATAGCAACAGGCCTTCCTGTGTTTTCCTTTTCTTTAGGCTAAACATTTCCCCCAAGGGGTTAAAACAAGTTTCTTGAGTTTTGGATCCTATAGATCACTAAAATTATTGTTATTAAAGAATTTTGAGAAGTCACATAGAATTTATAGATTTTATAAAAAAATTTATCCAAGTAAGGATATTTTAAAAACCCTAAACCATTATTTAATATCTGTTGTATTTCACAAATGAATTAACACTTTATCATAAAAGACACCTGGCAACACCTGCATTCTCAATTCCTCCCACTGATGTAAAATTCTCATTTTACCATCAACCACTAACAACCAACCCTAGTTCATAAGGAGCAACAAATGGGGAAGGCTAAACTAAAAGTGAGATGAAATGTAACAAGGTATTCATTTAGTTAAGATTTTTGGAGACTGATAGGGGGAAAACTAGGCATCAATTTCTGTGGGAAATACCAGACGTTTTAAATGGGTTCATAGTTAATATCAGCCAACCCTAAAACATGGCACTTAGGAAGTAGGATATATAGAACCATGGACCTGTCATGTCTGAGTTTTACTGAGAGTCCCAGAAGTTGAATCACAGATTCATTGTTTTTATTTCATTAATTTTTTTTGTAGTACTGGGGATCAAACTAGGCAAGTGTTCTTCCCTGATTATTTTTTATTAATTTACTCCTGCCTGCCCCTCAGTATGGGGTATTAAACCCATTTGCCCTCTACCGCTGAACTATATCCATAACCTTTTTTCCCCCTTGAGGCATGGTCTCACTAAGTTGCCACAGGCTGATCTGGAATTTTCAATCCTCCTATTTCAGTATCTAGATTGCTGGGTTGCAGGTGTGTACCTAGATCTCGTTATTTTTAATTCCAGTAATCACAGTTTGTAAAGGATACTGATAAACCTGAGCTGTACTGTCAACCTCATTTTCTACTTCTTAAAGATATGAAATAATTGTATCACTAGAGGGAGTGACACCTGCAATTTGAAATAGTCCTCTATGTGGGGAAGGCTGGAGTGTGTTAAAGAGGTAGAGACTATGGTATTTGGGAGCATTCCAGATAATGTGTCAGGAGAATAAGGAGAAATGTGAGGAACAACGAAGCATGAAAAATGAAACTGTTTTCTCACCTGTGTTGTCAATTGAATTACCAAAGTTGTCATAATATAAAAGTATGAAATGCACCCCCTCCCTGCTAAACAGAGGTATCTGTTCCCACCCATATATTTATTGTCTCTGATGTTTAGCTATTTGTAAACATTGAATAATAAAATGCAAATTGATTATTCTCTTCAATTAGTTTTATTAAAGAGGAAGTATTTCATGAAAAGTTATTGAAAGTGATGTTGACAACTGCTTGAATGAAATACAGGAAAAACCAGTCCATTTGAATTCTGACTGAGTTACTCTAGTTCATAGATCTTTTCTTTTATTATTTTTTGGGGGTGCCAAGGATTGAACCCAGGGTCACTTTACCATTCAGCCACATCCCCAGCCCTTTTATCTATCTATCTATCTATCTATCTATCTATCTATCTATCTATCTATCTATCTATCTATCTATCTATTATTTATCTACCTACCTACCTACATTTATCTATCTATCTTTCCATTTATTTATTTATTTATTTATTCATTCATTCATTCATTCATTCATTCATTCATTTATTTATTTATTTTTAAGGCAGGGTCTTGCTAAGTTGCTGAGAGCCTCACTAAGTTGCTGAGGCTGACTTTGAACTTGAAATCCTCCTATCTCAACTTCCTGAGCTGCTGGGATTACAGGCATTTCTCAGCTCGCTTGGCTAATTAATATGTTTTTAGAATACATGAATTTAACTTCAAAGGCCTTTGGGGAAAATTATGAAGCCCTCTGTATGTGTTTATGTGTTTTCATTATATGCATGTATTATAATACATCCATTGTCTTCTTGATTGTGTCTCCCACATAACTAATGAGGATGAATCTCTTTCACATACTTATGAATCATTTTTTAATTTCTATTATGTTTCCCTTTTTTATTTAAAAAATTGGATTGTGTTTTTTATATTGATGGAAGTTCTTCTTTTTTGAAGGTATGTATTTTTTTTTTACTTATGTGTGCTCCAAAAGCTGGGTGAGGTTACAGGAACCTTTAGCCCCCGGCCAGCACAGGCTTCATAAATGAAGGTTCAATAAGTAAGAAATCCTCAGGGAGTTTGAATTAAAGAGACAGGCTCTAATTATCTTTAAACCAGCTCCAGGACAGCTTCTCCTAGCTCCAGCCTCCAGCCACCTATTATGGTAGCGAGATTTACTGAAGAGGCTATCGAGACAGAAAGAACATGCCAGGGAGTGGACTTATATTGGGGAACAAAAAATTCTGGGGAAAATCCCATCCAATGAAGATTAAGGGAGGCAGTGTTCCAAGGTGAGGTGCAACGATTGGGTCTTCAGGGTAGTGGGAGATACGCCTCCACAGGGACAAGCCCTCGGACTTGAGAAGGGTGGGGAAAGGATGTGTCTAAGCGCCTCCCGCCCAGCCAGGGAGGATGTTTGAGGATGGCCTCCCACAGGCACCTATAGTATCAGCATCTTAGGAGTCTGAGGCAGAAGATCAAGTGAGGCTAGGAGTTGAAGCATAGCCTAGCAGCATACTGAGAGACCCTGTTTCAAAAGAATGAACAGGCAGGAAGACAAGAACTGAGCAGAATAGAGCTGTAAATGTATTCTTCCAATATGTGCTTATTTCTCCATTTTTTCTTTTGTTAGTTCTGTTTTGCTTCTATCTATCCTTAAGTTCTAGTCACTGTTCAGATTTCCTCAATTTTTATACATGCATATACATGTAAAAATAGACACACACAGCATATTAAGTTAAACACTGCTGTTGCATGGAGTAATGCTGTTCTGTGTATTTCTGATGGGATATACCTCAAATAGCAATAGGGAGTTGTATGCATATGTGTATAATGTGGTCTTGTGTTATGCAAATACTGGTGATTAAACTCAGGCTGCTCTGATACAGAGTTACATTGCCAGCATAGGTTTTTTAATTTTTAAAAGAATGATGTTTACTGGAAAATCCATGTTTTCTATTACAATGGATGGTAAAATTTAGTTAAATATTTATCTTATCTGTGGGATCTGTGGCACTAAGTATGTAGGAAGACAACTTGCAAATTATTCCGAAATCTTAGCAAGTTTTACATGGGTACATAATTAGAATACAACAAAATTTACTGGAATAGTATACTGTAAAGGATACACATGTAAATGTGCACACTTGTGCATAGTATTACATAATGATTATCAATTGTGGTTTTTCAACACAAATGTTAAATTTCCTGCTTTTGTGTTCTACCTTCCCTTTTTTAGGATGTGTTTAGCTTTCAAGTATCTCCTGAAATGAATCCCATCAAAATAAATGAATTGGCAATCCAAAAACGTTTGACTATTCATGGGAAGGAAGATGAAGCTAGCCCCTATGACCATGTGTTGCAAGTCAGTGGGAGAGTAGAATATGTATTTGGTGATCACCCACTAATTCAGTTCCAGGTACGTGTGTTAACTGTCAGTTTACCAAAAAAAAAAAAAAAATTTATGTGTAAGTATTTAACTTTTATTTCTGATTGTAAAAAGGTGTGCCTATCTTGGAACCTTTGGGACCTACAGAAAATTATGCTGAGATTATCAGTGTTAATATATTCACATTCTTTGTAGTAATGTATGTTCTTCTTTTTCTTTCTTCTTCTTTTTTGGTTGGCTGGGGATTGAACCCAGGACCTTGTGCATGCGAGGCAAAGCACTCTACCAGTTGGCTACGTCTCCAGCCCATGATATATGTTTTTAATCTAATAATTATATACACATTAATATGTATCTAAATGTGTTTGCACTTTACTTTTTTCGGTTGTGTCAGTTGGTGTTGTGTCAATTGTTTTCCTGCAGCATTCTGAAATCTTAGCACAAATTATTGTAGCTATTTATTGTTTCCTCATATAAACAAACATATGGTTTAAGTGTGAAGTATTTTAGGGGAGCTGGAATATTTTAAAAGTTGATTAAATGGTCACTTGTTGAATCATATAAAAATTTACTTATATGAAAATGCTAAAAACTTGTTATTTATTTTTTAAATAGAGTATTTTGGGGTACTGGGAATTGAACCCAGGGCCTTATGAATGCTAAACATGCACTGAGTTATATTCCCACTGCAGTGAAGTAACATTTCAACTTTTCATTGTGAGTTGGCAGACTTCTAAATTTCAGTGTGTCATATTTATGTCTATAATCTTCTTTGCTCCTTTTTTGTTGCTTCCATTTGTGGTAGGAATTTTGTACGCATTAGGTTCTAAAAAGCCTTCCTTGAGGCTGGGGTTGTGGCTCAGTAGTAGAGCATTTGCCTAGCACGTGTGAGGCAATGTGTTTGATCCTCAACACCACATAAAAATAAATAAATAAAATAAGTTTTAAAAAATACTTTAAAAAAGCCTTCCTTAATTTTTGAGGTATTTATTTTCATTTAGTCATGAGTTATTTGAGCATATACTTTATGCAAGGTACTACACTGCCTCTGATAATTTTTGGAGTAAAGTGGAATTTAAATAGAAGGTGTTCGATACAATGTCCCTTTTCCCACAAGGTTTGTTTCCTGGCTTTGTCTTCAAGGAACTTGAAGATATTTTCATTGAAATTATATTTGGAGACTAAAAAATGGTTATTATGTAAGGAATAATAGAATAAGTTCCAAATTAGATTTCAATAGTAACAGGATTTAAATTGTGTTCTTTTGTTATATCATTGTTTTGTTTTATACAAGGGGATGTAAACATGCCAAATATAAAATGACATCTGAGACTACTGAGATTTATTAGCAGGCAACTGAATTTTGTACTTTGTTGGGTTTCTGGCATGACCTTAATTTTTGTAGTTTAGCAGGTAGAAGGTCTAGGAGTAGTTTTAACTTGTATGAACAGCTTTGGGAGCTGAGACATTCTGATAGTAAGTGATTCAACCCGTGAGAAGGAGGAAGAAGACAAGTGTTTGGTGGGCAGCACAGAAGTACTAACTTCTCTTTGTGTTCTGCTGTCATTCAAGTAGCATCCATTAAAGTTATTTTAAAAATAACTTTCTGGGGCTGGAGTTGTGGCTCAACAGTAGAGCGCTCACCTGGCACGGGCGAGGCCCTGGGTTCGATCCTAAGCACCATATACAAATAAACAAATAAATAAATAAAATAAAGGTATTGGTGTCCAACTACAACTAAAAATAAATTTTAAAAATAACTTTCTAAATAGAATACAATACATTGAATCACACTTTGAAACTATATAGGAAATTTATTCTGTTGAGGAATACATTGGATTTCTATTTGTTAGGAATCTTTGTTAATATGAATAATCATCTCCTTTTTATATGCCTCTGAGGAATCCACTGTTTTCATGGAAATTAGACAGATTTGGGGGACTGTCTAATTGGAGTGACCAATAGTTTTTTGTTTTTTTTTTTTTTAAAGCTGGGGAGACAGTAAAAAATGCTTACCTAGAACTTTGTGCTGAAAAAAGGGCCACTTTCAGGGATGCACAGGAAAATGTGAATCTGCCAAATGTGAACTACGTTTTCACCTTTCCTAGCTGATTGGCTTAAATATCACATTGACCTTAGATAAGTGGTTTTAAATCCAGGTCTTATAGATAACTTAACCCTTCTGAGTTTCATTTCTTTAAGCTATTAAATGAGGGATATAATCTCTCTTGTTGAATGTTGTGAAGATCATAAGGCTAACTGTTTTATGGGGTTGTGATGTTAAATTATCATGTTCTTAATATCAAGTTGTTTAGTTAAAATGTGCTTTTACAGTGCTTGTTGTATGACAATGCTCAAATTAATATTACTTTTCTTTTTTTTGGATACTAGACATTGAACCCAGTGGTACTTAGCACTGAGCTTCATCCCCAGACCTTTTAATTTTTTATTTTGAGGCAGGATCTCACTAAGTTGGTGAGGCTGACTCCAAACTTGGATCTTCCTGCCCCGGCCTCCTGAATTGCTGGGATTATAGGCATGCATCACCATGCCCAGCTCAAATTAATTTAGTCTGTTTTAAGTATTTGTCTGAAAATCCACACTTTCCTCTTTCTTCCTGTTGTAGTATATCCGGAACTGTGTAATGAACAGGACTCTACCCCATTTTATACTCGTGGAATGCAGTAAGATAAAGAAAATGTATGAACAGGAAATGATTGCCATAGAGGCTGCCATAAATCGGAATTCATCTAACCTTCCTCTTCCCTTACCACCAAAGAAAACACGAGTTATTTCTGTAAGTTTCATGTGTGAACCTTTGGTAACCCCAAAAGGCATGTGATTTTTGTTAGGTTATATGCCAAGTCTCACACATTTCCTTTGCTCACTTCTCCTTCTGTGAAAACTAATGCGCGTTTGTGAAAAACTTATTACCAGTTACTTAAAACTAGCTTGCTAGCTATTAATTTTCTTAGCTCAAGCTACAGATAAATGTAAATATACCATTTATTTTTTGTGCCCCCTCAAGAAAAAGTGCCATCAAATTAGAGATTGGATGTTAAACCTAGAACTTATATGACAATTCTAGTAGAAAAGATAGATGCACAGAAATATAAGTATTACCAGTTTCTATCAACTTAACAAAATAGTATTTTTGATGAGATTTTTCTGTGTTTTTAATATTAAAGACTTTCAATATTAAATATGCATCAAAGGCACTTTTTTTCAGAACGTATTTGTATAAATATTAAGTTTGGGTTCATTTGAATCATTAACATTTTTTATAAGTTACTTGGTCTTTACAATTCTGAATTTAATTGCTCCTTGATGATATATTTCTATATTAAAGTAAATGGTCAATTTATCCAAAGTTTTTCATACTGTTTGTTGATGCTTTTTATTTTAGTGATATCTCTTAGTAGTGGAATGTGTTCCATGGTAAAACATTTGCCCACAAAACCAAGTGCTAGTGATTACAATGCTTTATTTAATACATGTAATTTTCAGTTGTAAGTTCAGAGCCCTGTCTTCATAATTTTGGCAGTAGATATGAGAACTTATAGATGACTTGATTGTTATCATAGAATCTTAATTTCTTTCTTTAAAATAGCTCTGTATTTATTTCCTTCTTTTACAGCATGTGTGGGACAATAACAACCCTTTTCAAATTGTCTTGGTTAAGGGAAATAAACTTAACACAGAAGAAACTGTAAAAGTGAGTACTTCTTAAGATTTGAATTTGCCATGTGCTCTGTTATTTGAATAACTCACTCATATGCTCCATAACGTCACATTGCAGATTTTTAAACTTTATCCATATCCATCAATTGCATGAGATAGAATATGGCAATTTTTGTAAGACTATTGAGTATTTTTGTTTGTTTGTTTGTTTGTTTTAAAACATTCTTGGAATAGTTGAAGATCTCCTAGAAAGGCTGACTTTATTTTTCCATTATGTAGAATAAATTATTTTTATAGCAGGAATTCAGCAAGTGAAATTTAAATTGAAACTATGGATCACACACAAACTTACTGTCCTGTCATCTTTGCCTAGAGCTGCATTCAGCCTCTTCTTTTAGTTTTCTTTCTTTCTTTCTTTAAACTTGCTGAGCACAGAGAAAATGATATCATTTCCAGGGGGTGGGGTGGTGGTGGAGAATGGATGATTACATTAAAGACCACAAGTTGTTAACGCATGGGGATTTATTGCACAACCCCATACAATTTTAAGTAAAGACCTTGTAAGGCATTTAGCCTCAAAAGATAAAGTGTTTTCTTTATTTTGTTAGGCAAGAAATTTGAGAGAACAGTCTTGTGATCCAAGGAAGAGAGATTCAGTTAATTTGAAATTTTTGGTGGTATTCGGGTGCACCTTGCCAAATATTACCAGTCACTTGCTTTTTGTACATGAATATTAAAGATTCTCTGAAGGAGGATGATTGGGGTAATGGAGAGAGATAGGTTAAAGGCTACAACAAGATGCAGTTATTTTGAATGAATAATTCTAGACATCTAATGTACAAAATGAGGACTATAGTTAATAATATTGTATGATAGAAATTTGCTAAAGAGTAGATTTATTTTTTTTAATTTTTTTATTGTTTTAGTTATATGACAGAAGAATGCATTTATGCACTTTAATATAGTATACATAGATGGGATATAATTTCTCATTTTTCTGAGTGTATATGTTGCACAATCACATTGATCATATAGTCACATATATATATACAGTAATAATGTTTGTTTCATTCTACTCCTTTCCTATCCTCACATTCCCTCCTGTCCCCTCCCATCACTTCTCTCTACCTAATCTAAGGTAGTGCTATTCTTCCCTAGTGCCACCCCCCTCACCTTATTGTGAATTAACATCTGCATATTAGAGAAAACATTCAGCCTTTGGTTTTGTGGGATTGGCTTATTTTGCTTAGCATGATATTCTCCAACTCCATCCATTTACTGGCAAATGCTATAATTTCACTCTTTTTTAAAGCTGAGAACTCTGCATCCCTGGGATGAATCACACTTGATCATGGAGCACTATCTTTTAAATATGTTTTTGTATGCAATTTACCAGAATTTTAGTATCTATGTTAATCAGAGATATTGGCCTGAAGTTTTCTTTCCTTGATGTGTCTTTGTCTGGTTTGGGTATTAGGGTGATATTAGGCTCATAGAAAGAAATTGGAGGCTGGGATTGTGGCTCAGCTGTAGAGCGCTCACCTAGCATGCGCGGGGCCCTGGGTTCGATCCTCAGCACCATATAGAAATAAATGAATGGAATAAAGGTATTGCGTCCAACTACAAAAAAAAAAAAAAAAAGAAAGAAATTGGAAAGGTTCCATTGAGTATATATGCTACATTTTTTTTATCCATTCATTTATTGAGGGTCCACAGTCTAGCTATTGTGAATTGAGCTGCTATAAACATTGATGTGGCTGTGTCACTACAGTATGCTGATTTTAAGTCCTTTGGGATTAAAACAAGGAGTGGGATAGCTGGGTCAAATGGTGGTTCCATTCCCAATTTTCTGAAGAATCTCCATACTGCTTTCCATAGTGGTTATACCAATTTGCAGTCCCACTAGTAATGTATGACTGTACCTTTTCCCCCATATCCTCACCAACATTTATTGTTGCCTGTGTTCTTGATGATTGCCATTCTGACTGGAGTGAGATGATATATAAAGAACTCAAAAACCTTAACACCAAAAAAACCCCCCCAAATAACCCAATCAATAAATGGGCCAAGGAACTAGACAGACACTTCACAGAAGAAGAAATACAATTGACCAACAAATATATAAAAAAAGTGTTCAACATCTCTAGAATTAGAGAAATGCAAATCAAAACTACTCTAAGATTTATATATCCTAGAGATTAATGCTTTATTGGAGGTGCATATGGTAAAGATTTTCTCCCAATCTCTCGTCTCTCTCCTCATGTTATTAATTATTTCGTTTGCTGAGAAGAAGTTTTTTAATTGGAATCCATTCCATGTATTGATTCTTGATTTTACTTCTTGCACTGTAGGAGTTAAGGAAGTCAGATCCTAGGCCAATGTGGTGAATATTTGGACCCATTTTTTCTTCTATTAGGTGCAGGGTCTCTGTTCTATTGCCTAAGTTTTTGATCCACTTTGAGTTGATTTTTGTGCAGGGTGAAAGATAGAGGATTAATTTCATTTTGCTATATATGGATTTCCAGTTTTGTTAGCACCCTTTGTTGAATAGGCAATCTTTTCTCCAGTGAATGTTTTTGATACCCTTGTCTAGTATGACATAACTGTATTTATGTGGGTTTATCTCTGTGTCCTCTATTCTGTATCATTGGTCTACAAGTCTATTTTGGTGCCTACGATGCCATTTTTGTTACTATTGCTCTGTAGTATAGTTTGTGATGCTTCCTGCTTCACTTTTCTTGCTAAGGATTGTTTCAGCTATTCCTGGTCTTTTATTTTTCCAAATAAATTTTATGATTGCTTTTTCCATTTCTTTGAAGAATATCATTGAGATTTTAGTAGGAATTGCATTAAATCTGTATAACTCTTTTGGTAGTATGGCCAGTTTGACAATATTAATCCTGCCTATCCAAGAGCATGGGAGACCTTTCCATCTTCTGAGGTTTTCTTCAATTTATTTCTTTTTAAATTTTTTTTCTTTCTTTTTAAATTTTTTTAAAAAAAATTTTAGTTATAGCTGTCAATACCTTTAATTAATTAATTATTTTTATGTGGTGCTGAGGATCGAATGCAAGGTCTCCAAGCACCAGGTAAGAGCTCTTCCGCTCAGCCACAACCCCAGCCCCAATTTCTTTCTTTAGTATTCTGTAATTTTCATTGTAGAGGACTTTAAGCTCTTTTGTTAGATTGATTCCCAGGTTTTTTTTTTTTTTTTTTGAGGCTATTGTGAATGGAGTAGTTTTGTATAGGAATGCGTTTGATTTATGAGTGTTGATTTTATATCCTGCTACTTTGCTGAATTCATTTATTATTTCTAGAAGTTTTCTGGTGGAATTTTTTGAATCTTCTAGATATAGAATCATGTCATCAGCAAATAGTGACAGTTCGAGTTCTTCTTTACATATTTGTATCACTTTAATTTCTTTCTTTTGTCGAATTGCTCTGGCTAGAGTTTCAAGGATGATGTTGAATAGACGTGATGAAATAGGGAATCCTTGTCTTGTTCCAGTTTGTAGTGGGAATGCTTTCAATTTTTCTCCATTTAGAATGATGCTGGCCTTAGGTTTAGCATATACATGTTTTATAATGTTGAGGTATGTTCCTGCTATTCTTAGTTTCTCTAGTGTTTTGAATATGGAGATGTGCGGTATTTTGTCAAATGTTTTCTCTGTCATCTATTGAGAGGATCATATGATTCTTTTTTTACGTCGATTAATATAATATATTACGTTTATTGATTTCTATATGTTGAACCAACTCTGCATCCCTGGGACGAATCCCACTTGATCGTGGTGCATATATTTTTAATATGTTTTTGTATGAAATTTGCATACAAAATTTTATTGAGAATTTTTGCATCTATGTTCATCAGGGATATTGGTCTGAAGTTTTCTTTCCTTGATGCGTCTTTGTCTGGTTTTGGTATCAGAGTAATATTATTCTCATAGAATGAATTTGGAAAGCTTCCCACTTTTTCTATTTCATGAAATATTTTGAGGAATATTGATGTTAATTCTTCTTTGAAAGTCTTGATAATATTAATTCTGACTATCCAAGAGCAAGGTAGATCTTTCCATCTTCTTTGACTTCTTTCTTTAGGGTTCTGTAATTTTCATTATGTAGATCTTTCACCTCTTTCGTTAAGTTGATTCCCAATTATTTATTTATTTTTTTTTTTGAGGTTATTGTGAATGGGGTAGTTTTCCTCATTTTCTTCTCAGAGGCTTTGTCACTGATATACAGAAATGCCTTTGATTTATGGGTGTTGATCTTATATCCTGCTACTTTGCTGAATTCATTTACTAGTTCTAGAAGTTTTCTGGTATAACTTTTAGGGTCTTCCAGGTAAAGAATCATATCATCAGCAAATAGTGCCAATTTGAGTTCTTCTTTTTCTATGTGTATCCCTTTAATTTCTTTCATCTAATTGCTCTGGCCATTGTTTAAAGAACTATGTTAAATAGAAGTGTCTTGTTCCAGTTTTTAGAAGGAATGCCTTCAATTTTTCTCCATTTAGAATGATGTTGGGGGCTGGGGATGTGGCTCAAGCGGTAGCGCGCTTGCCTGGCATGCGTGCTGCC